TCTCATTAGATGCAGAAAATGCATTTGATAAAATCCAGCATCCCTTCTTAATAAAAACCTTTGAATACCTAGACATAGAAGGAACATTCCTCAAAACAGTAAGAGCCATCTATCACAAAGTTGCAGCCAACATCATGCTTAATGGGCAGACGCTAGAAGCATCCCCCCTAAGAAACAGAAAAAGACAAGGATGTCCACTCTAACCCTTCCTATTCAGCAGCAGTACCCTGGAAATTCTAGGCAGAGCAATCAGGCAGGAGAAGGAAATCAGGGGTATCCAAATAGGAAAAGAGGACGTTAAATTATCCCTCTTTGCAGATATCATTCTATATCTAGAAAACTCTAGAGGTCAAAAGCTTCTTGCACAGATAAATGACTTTGGTAAAGTCTCAGGACACAGAGTCAACGCACAAAAGACATCTACATTTCTGTACACCAACAAAAAGCAGAGTGAGAACCAAATACAAACCACAGTTTTATTTACAGTAGCCACACAAAAAAGTGAAATACCTTGGTCTCCACTTAACCAGAGAAGTGAAAGCCCTTTACAGTGAGAATTACAAAACACAGCTCAGATAAATCAAGGATGAGACAAATAAATGGAAAAACATCCCATGCTCATGGATTGGAAGAATCAGTATTGTCAAGATGTTCATCTTACCCGAGGCATTCTACAGATTCAAAGCAATCCCTATAAAATTGCCAACATCATTTTTCACAGACCTAGAAAAGAAAATACAGAATTCATATAGAAGCAAAAAAGAGCACAAATAGCCAAAGCAGTCTTCAGCAAAAGGAACAAAGCTGGAGGTATCTCACTTCTAGACATTAAACTTTATTACAAGGCTACAGTAACCAAGACAGCATGGTATTGGTACAGGAATAGGCACATAGACAATGGAACGTGACAGATAATCTGGAAATAAAAACACGGTCCCTTAATCAACTCATCTTGAACAAAGCCATTAATAGCAGACATTGGGAAATGGCAACCATATTTAGCAAATGGTGCTAGGAAACTGGATCAAGGACTCAACTATAAAACCTCCAAGTATAAGAATCCTAGAAGAACTGTAGGGAACACCCTTCTGGGCTTTGGAGCAGGCAATGAATTAATGACAATTCCCCAAAAGCAAATGCAATAAAAGTTAAGATAGACAAGTGGGACTTTATCAAACTGAAAAGCTTTTGCATAGCAAAAGAAACCATCAAGAGATAAAGAGACAACCCATGGAATAGGAAAAAATATTTGCAAGCTATGCCTCTGACAAAGGCCTAATAACATCCAGGATCTACAAGGAACTTAAAGTAAAAGGAAAAAAACATCTGATTAAAAGGAGAGCAAAGACATGACAGACACTTCTCAAAGATGGCATTCAGGCAGCCTACAAACACGTGAAAGAAATGGTCAGCCTCACTACTCATTAGAGAAATGTAAATCAAAACTACAATGAAAACCACCTAACACTGGTAAGGATGACTATCATTAATAAGTCTAAAAACAACAGGTGCTAGTGTGGTTGTGGAGAAAAGCAGACACTTCTACACTGTTGGTGGGTAAATGTAAGCTAGTTCAACCTCTATAGAAAACAGTGTCATGATTTCTCAGAGAACTAAAGTTGAGCTTCCATATGATTCCTCAGTTCCTTTCCTGGAAATATACCCAGAGGAACGTAAATAAAAGACACCTGCACATGCATGTTTACTGCAATTGTGAAAACATGGAACCAACCCAGAGATGTCCATCAAAAGTGGAATAGATAAAGAAAATATGGTACATGTACACGATGGAATATTATACAGCCATAAAGAACAAAATGATGGCCTTCACAGCAACTTCGATGGTGTTGGGGATTATACTAAGTGAACTATCACAGAAACACAGAATACTGCATGTTCTCACTCATAAGTGGGCCCTGAGTACTGCATAAGGTCAGATGCTGGACACTGCTGGGGGGAGGGAGGCAGGAAGGTGGGGAGGATGTGATAACACAATGTGGGAACCCAATGGTTACCTGGTTCACTATCAGGAGGAGGAAGGACCAGTTAGAAACCCAAACTTCATCTGCATGCAACCTACTTATCTAGTAAATCTCCACTGTACCCCACAACTGTAAAATTAAAAAAAAAACACAAAATTACATAGAAGCCAATTTAAAATTTCCACTGGCCAAGGATAGGACAGTTTGACCATCAAAAAGAAGAATGAATTCAGTGGATAGTAGCACATATTAGTTATCTTCAAATCTATAAATTTATAACAGTACTAAACTAATGCGATAAAAACATAAAACCTCAACTTGCTAGTTATTTTGGGAGTTTAATTTAGTAGGACACTGCAGCAGGCTGAATAACAGACCGGAATGTATCAGGTCCTAATCTCTGGAATTTTTAAATGTTGCCTTATTTGGAAAAGGGGTCTTTGCACATATAGTTCTATGAGGGCTTTTGAGCTGAGGAGATTTACCTGGATTATCTGACTGAACCTGAAATGTAATCACAGGTGTCTGTATAGGAGAGAAGAAGAGGGAGATTAAACTGCATCACACAAAGGAGAAGGTCAGGTAACAGAAGCAGCAGAAAGCAGAGTCAGAAATTTGAAGATGCTGTCCTTGAAGATTGAAGTGATGTGGCTACCAACTGGAAGAGACTAGGAATGTATTTTCTCTTAGAGCTACTGGAAGGAGTGTGGTCCTGCTGACACCTTGATTTTGTCTCATCGATGTTCTAGTTTCCCGAACCATGAGAGAATAACTTTTAAGTCTGTTGTAAGCCAGCAAGTTTGTAGTTATGTTACAGCAACCACAAGAAACTAATATAGGTACAAGCTCATTCTTCTGAACATTGGTAGATCAAGGGAAAGAATAAAACATTTATCTCTTTTGTCCTGGATAGCCAAATCATGAATGAGGGAAAGTTTTTTCCTAGAAAAATTTCCACCAATAGATCACAGTTTTTCAGTTTCTATTGAAATAATGGTTATATGCAATGATCATCAAATGATGCAAAAGTTATTGTGTGAAAGGCAGCTGGAGAAATTTTTAATGGATAGATCAAGCTAACACTTGAATCTATTGATCAGTTTTAATATCACAAAAAAGAGAGAGAACCAAGTATTGTATGCCTGCTGAGGTAATGCAATACAAAATATATAGCACTACTTTGTGAAGTATTCTTGCTAAATCTTGAACCTGAATCTGATCATATAGGGGATATAGAAACAGTATAGCGATGCCATCAGCCAATCCAAAATATGGAAAATTCTGCATGATATATGCCCTGGTTTCTTTAACAGATAAATAACAAAGAAATGAAGAAGGAAGGGAGAACTCTTATAGTTTAAAAGAGACTTAGAAGACAAGCCATATGTAGTACAATGCAAGGTGTGGACCTTTTTGGAACTTGGATTAAGCATTTTAACTATAAGAAGAAATTTATGGAATTAGTGGGAAAATTTGAACAGTGGTTATTTGGTGATATTAAGGAATGGTGTTTTTTTTTAATGGTACGATATTGATACTGTGGTTATGTTTAAAAAGAATCTTCATCTCTTAGAGCTGCATACTTGCATATTTACAGATGGAGTGCTGTAATTTCTGGAATTTGTTTTAAAATAATCCAACAAGATTGCATGGGGGGGCAAGTGTAGAGTAGCATAGAAGAAACAAGGTTGGCCTTATGTTGATGTCTGTTGAGACTGGGTGAATGAAGTATAAGGATTCATAATACTGGTTTCCCTACTTTTGTGTATATTTTAAAATTTCCACAATAAAAAGTAAAAACAAAAGACTATTTAGGTAGCACTTTTTAATAAGACTTTGACCTTCTTTTAATGGATTAGTGACAACCTCTGGAAAGTTTAAAAAAAACTTTTTATTATGGAAATTTCAGACATGTTAAATCAAGAGAATAGTGTAATGTATTCATCACCCAGTTTCAATAATTAGCTTGTAGCAAAACTTGTGTCAGTGGTACCCCATCCATTCTCTGCATCATATTATGTCATATATAAATGCTTCACTGTTATCTCTAAAAGATAGGACCTTTTTACAAAATATAATTCCAATAGTATTATCATTACATTGAACAAAAATGGAATCTTTTTTAACGGGATCATTTATCTAGGTAGGTAAGCAAGGTTTATCCGCAGTTACAAAGTTCAAGCAAGAAGGTTCTACATGATGAAATTAAGAATTTTCTTTTGTGTCTCTCAGGTCAAATGACCTATAATTTTTAGTATATGGTAGATGTTTATCTTTATCAAGTAGAATTTAAAAATGCACACTGTTGTATTTCTTATATGCCAAGAAAATGTCCTTAGGCCACCTTATACCATCATTTTTTTGGTAGACCGCCGTAAAATAAACCTTTTCAATGTAGCTATTACACATTTTCTATTTAGACTGTTGGGTTAAAAATTTTTAAAAGTAGTCTGATTTTTAACTTAGTTAACCTTTTGAAATGTCTTTCCACAAATGTAAAGAGTAGTTTTAAAGTTAATTCAGAAGTTCTAATTTTTATTTATAACATGGAAAGCTCAAGTTTTGAATTTTGCAGTATATTATGTAAATCTTTCATCTTAGCCTGCCTTGTATTGCTTTAACAATACCACAAACTGGGCCGTTTATTTCTTATAGTTCTGAAGGCTAGGAAATTCAAGATTGAGGGACACAAATCTGGCAAGGACCTCCTTGCTGCCTCATCCCTCAGTAAAAGGCAGAAACACAGAGGCAGACAAGCGCAAGGTTGAGAGGAGGTGGAAGTTCATTTTGTAAGAAAGTTACTTTCTCAATAACTAACTTTCTACATTGATCTACTCATGGGGTGCAGAACCCTTATGACATAAGGGTTCTTATGAGTTTCCATTTTCTACCACTATTGCATTGGGGATTAAGTTGCCAATATACGAACTTTGAGGGATATATTCAAACCATATTATTTTGTAGAGGACTTTATAAATTGATTTTGACACTACATCTCTCTCTCTCTCTCTTTTTAAGGTTCTAGATAAAGCAGAGTATCTAAGAGATATGGAAGCAAATATTTTGCCTGGGTTTCTTAGGTTACAAGAATTGGTAAGTAATGCATGAGGGTGGTTTTTCCCCATAACCTAATCGACCGATTGTGTTGTACATTTTTTTCATTTTGCCATCTGATAGGTGAGAAATAAGATTTTAGCATAATTTAAATTTGCATCTCCTGTTATGAATAGAGGTCAGTATTTTTTTTAATAGTAAAAGCAATTTATAATTTGATAACATTTATTTTTCAATTATTTTAGCTTTTTATCTTGAATTATAAAGTAAAAAACTGCTTTCTACTAAAATATTTTAATAATGATGAGAGGCCAGACTTTAAAGTCTTGCAAAGATTTAAAAATTTTCTTTTCATTCCAATAATCTAAGAATTATTATTATGGTATGGCTATTCTGGATCATTTGAATTTCTGTCTTGTGGCCACTCAATGTGAGAACCCAGCTTTGTATTTCAATTTACCATTGTGTTGGCACCATATAGTGCAGTAAATCCTCAATTAACATCATCAATAGGTTCTTGGAAACTGCAGCTTTAAGCCGGGCTCTCTGGCTCAGCCTGTAATCCCACACCTTTGGGAGGCTGAGGTGAGTGGATTGCCTGAGTCCGCGGGTTCGAGACCCGCCAGGGCAACTTGGCGAGACCTCCTCTCTACAATAAATCAAAAAATGAGCGGGCATGGTAGCGCGCGCCTGTAGTTCCAGCTACTTGGAAGGCTGAGGCGGAAGGATCGCCAGAGCCCAGCAGGTCGAGGCTGCGGTGGCCGGGAGTGGCCACTGCACTCCAGTCTGGGCAACAGAGAAACTCCAACTAAAAAAAGAAAAAAGAAACTGCAGCTTTAAATGAAATTATGCACAGCAAATTCTCAAATAAGGTCGTTTTCTTCAGCATCATTTCAGTATAACAATGTTGAGAAAAACAAAATTGGTTTCATTATATGCATTTTGCTTAAAGTCACAATTTCGGAGAACCTGCCAGCAACATTAAGTATTACTACTACTGTGATTATCATGGTCCATTGAGAAAAGAACAGGGGTTGGGCTTACTATGCATCTATGTCAGGTGAAAGTCAAATAATAATACCATGGAAAAAGCAGGGTTTTATAGTAGTTTGTATAAAGAAAGTTGATGAGAGAATTCTGTGTTCACCAATATCAGTTAGTATAGGAATGCTCAGCTCAGAAGAGCTGTCTGTGGCTATTTCCTGTTAGGACCATATTTACAAAGGAAGCAAAAATTTAGTTTGAGCAAAACAATACCATTTATCCTACTTAGTTACTATTTAAATATTTTAAATATTTAAATTTAAATAATTTCATTGGTTTTGTAGTTTTGTATTTCATTAAGACATTTATTTTGGTTTTATAATTTTATAAGTGCTTTGAGCATAAGTAGTTTTATGTTTGTATGCAATTAAAGTATTAAGTAACGTAATAGAAATTAAGTAAGTATGTGGGGAGAGAAGTGCTTAGAGTTTTCCCCCTTTTCAAAGTTAAATAATATTACTCAAATTTGAGAAACTGCTAGAAGTGTATAGAGGCCTTCCAAGTGCCACTGAAATCATTGTGTACCAAGTCCTAGAACTAACTCCTAAAGTTCACATGCAGTTGAGGGAGGGGAGGTGTCTAGAGAACAGGAGAAGAATAAGAATTGGTGGCCTATCCTGGAAGTTAACCTCACATAGTCTATTCTTTCCTGGTTTCATTAACTCTTGACATCTTATTAGGTTACTAATACCAGTAGATGTCTCCTCCTTCTTTTCCTTTTATTTATTTGTTTCATTTGTGTTTGTGGTTCTTTTGCCTACTATCTTCCACTATTTCCCATTGCTTTGCTCTGAGACTTACCATCTGGTATTCAGAGTGCATTCGTGTCTTCTTACCTTTTCAGTGTAGATTACCCTATTTTTTTTCCTTCTCATACCAAGTAATGGTGACCATGTGTCTGATCACAATAGTTTGGACTGTCATCATTTTTTAGTTTCAATGATATAAACTAAAGAAAATTAAAAGATTTACAGTAATCTAAGCTCTTGCCAGAAAAGAGAATTGTTGTTTTGACATTTTTGAAAACATGCATGGTTTTTTGAAGGGTGTATTTCATTTAAGAGAAATCTGGCAAAAGCGTTTCTCATTTTTTTATATCAAGTGTTTATCTAAGTAGAAGGAAATTTAAATTGTGATAGATATCACTGTACAATGAAAGTACTTTCAGATGAACAGAAGAGAACATTACCAATTTAAAATCCTTTCAGACTGATACATATCTTCTTTTTTTAACCTTTCAATATGTTTTAAACTGATTTTATAAAATGTTTTTAGATAATCTTTTTAAAGCAAAAACAACTCAGTGTTTTGTAATCAGGATTGTGGTTAGAGCATACTTTTTTACTCCTATAGAAATAAATTCAGAGATTCCTAAAAATCAATGGATTTTTAAGACAAAAAAATTTGAAAGTTAAACTGTTTTCTTCTCTTTCATAAAGATGCTACATTCTCAATGGCATTCTTCATTTATTGAACTCAACTATCTTTGTTAACTAAAATGCTTTTCTAAATAATGAAAATTTGCATATAAGGTTAGCATATACAACTTAGGAATCAGTAAATAGTAAATCACCATAAAAGTATAGTACAATTTATATATTTGAAATTGGGTCCTAAGAATACTTACAGACAAAACAACTATCATGCCTGCTTTGTCAGCTTAGGAAATGTCAAAAAAGAATATGAGAAAATTTTAAATTTTGTAGAGGATGCAGAGGTGTGTATACATAAATTGTAGTTACCAATGCATGAGGCATTTGTGACTGGCTACTCTGTAGAAAGGTAACAGACGTGCTGAGCTCATTCTCTTAATGTTTGTTTTTGGTATATTAATTGTAATTTCTAAATATAGTTTAAAAGACATGTTTTACTTAACATTTGGTGTTTTAGATACTAGTACTCATAGTTTTCATTTTTTAATGTATATTCAACTTCAGTTTTACTTAATTTGTATAAAAATGACCTTTAAAAAAACTTTAACTTTTCCTAGTATTATGAAGTTGTATAATATGGCATATCTATTTTTCTGTAACTCTATATTTGTCTTTATTTATTTATTTATTTTTAATTTTTTTAATTATTTTTTAATTTTAAAGATGTGGGGTACAATCAGGGTTAGCTATACAAACATTGATTATGCAGGTACCCTTGTTGATGAGGTATGCTCCTCCCTCCCCTAGCAGTTTCCCTCAACTGCCAATCCCCCATATTTCTCTTTTTCTGTGTTGCTGTAACCATTTTAAAAATTTGTTTATTTTCTTTACACCTTCTACCACGCTTCTGGAGATGTAGTCATTTTAATGTTGAGAAATGCTGAGCTTTGCCTTTTTGTTTTGATTGATTGAAAGTTTATAGTTTTTAAAAAATATCCATAAGAGAGTTTTGTTTTAATTACTAAAGCAAAGTATTTATTAATTTCTGTAATATATGCCCTTGTGAGACTGTCTAGCATTCCTGGGTAACTGAAATGTCGATTAACCTACAAGTTTTATGGAAACTCCAAGTAATTATGTGTGACAATTTGCAAATGGATGAGCTCCTTGATTAGATTTTCTTTTCTTTTTTTGGTTTTTTTTTTTTTTTTTGAGTTGGAGTCTCACTCTGTCGCCCAGACTGGAGTGCAGTGGCCGATTCCGGCCACAGCAGCCTTGACCTGCTGGGCTCCAGCGATCCTTCCGCCTCAGCCTTCCAAGTAGCTGGAACTACAGGCACGATCTACCACACCCAGCTAATTTTTTGATTTATAGTAGAGATGAGGTCTCGCCAAGTTGCCCAGGCGGGTCTCGAACCCGCAGGCTCAGGCAATCCACTCACCTCAGCCTCTGAAAGGCGCAGGATTACAGGCTGAGCCACCGAGCCCAGCTTGATTAGATTTTCTAAATATGGTTTATTGATATGCAAATTGGTTGTATGTTAGAACTTTGCTGAATTTATTTGAAAGAAAAATCCAAGTGGAATTACTGCTCTGACAGATTTTTAAATGTAAAGTTACTTTTATTTCTTTCTTTTACAGACTGACAGAAATGTTACTGTTATCTTCCTCAGTGAAATTGTTTGGGAAAAGTTTCGTCCAAATACTGGATGCTTTGAGCCATTTGTCTTGTATTTCCCTGATTACAGCATAGGTAAATTTTAAAACATTGATTTGGTAAATGATACTTAGTAAAGTAGTCTTTGTTGTTTGAAAGATTAAGTTTGCATGTTCGAATTGGGATACTTTACTATCTTAAACTATTAAGGTTTGCTGCCAATCTTAAATTAAATGTTTATATTTCTCTACTTATAAAATTTTTTTTGAAACTCTAAGGGTTTATTGTATAATAAGTGTTTTTTAATGAGAAACTTTCTTATTTATGTTAATGGTATATTTTCAGCATCTTTCGTCAGTACATTAAGTTGTTTATATATTGTACTACACAAATAAGAATCAGAATAGATTGGCAAAGCATATTAAATGTATTAAAATTTTTATCATATACTTGTGCTGGTCTTACGTCTTTTGATTTTGTAAATCTCATTTTAATTACTATAGCTGTTGTAGTACCAACTACTAGCTTTTGTCTTATTTTCTTGGAGGTTGTATTTAATCTTAAATTTTATAGATCCTCATGATATTTGTTTTTTGGAAGAGCATAATAGCTTTTTGTGTTGCTTAATAGCTTTGTAGATTAATACTGGACTTTGCTGCTTTGTATCATGCAAAGGTGATCCTTCTGATTCAAAACTTATAACTGTGAAGCATAAGGTGGTTAGCACACCATGAAAAAAATAGCAATTCCATGACCTTTGCCTCTTTAACACTCACTCTGAACTAATAAGCTGTAAATATTCATTGTTAAGACTAACCCATTTTTACCTGTATTCATAAGAATAGCAGTCAAATAACACCTCCTACCTTAGCTAATTATAAATAGCTGAGATTTTTTTAAAAAGTAGCCTAAAATAGATGAAGGGAGTTCTTATTTTTAATAACTTCTCATCCATGAAAATCACAAAATAAGGAAGAAAGGAAAGAATCTGAAGAAAATGGGTAATTCATAGGATTTTATTTAGAAAAAATGTTTTTGTCCTTAGAAAAAATTTGGACGTGGAAAAAACTTTTTTTGTACTTATGTCATCACTGTTTATAGTTCAATGTTTTCATCACCTATTTTAGGTTTAGGTACTGAAAAATTATTTAGTATTATTCAGAATTATATAAAATCAGTATAAAGAGATTATCTTAGTGGTTAATGTCATCCAATTTTAATAACTTGATACTCATATCATCCTTAGAAATTATGGTATCTAATGTGAAGGACACCTCTCCTCTTAGCCACATTTGGAAGTCTAATTTTCTGGTCTTTACTATATATAGACTATTCATCTTTTGGTGATGCATTGTTGTTGTTGTTGTTGTTTCTTGATCAGGGTTTAGTTTGGTTATTGTATCAATCAGGGTCAGTTAAGTTATGTGCGTAACAGTCTGAAATTTCAGTGATTTATAATTTCCTCCCTGACGACCTTTATACTATTGTTCTTCTACATTTTACTTTACAAAGCTCATAAACCCTATAACCTCATAGAATTATTATTTTGGTCTTTAAGGAATGGAAAAAAACAAAATAACTTCTATTGTTTATCCTGCTTGGGATTTATTGAGCTTCTCGGATCTGTGGATGTATAGTTTCATTACTTTTGGAAAAATTCCAGCCATGATTCCTTCAAATACTTTATCTGTTCCCCTTACCTTTTCTTTTTCCTTTTTTGGTGGGACTGTATTATGGTATGTTAGACCACTTGATATTGTTCCACTGAAAGTCTCTGCTTATTTATTTAAATTTTAAATCTTTTTCTCTGTATTTTATTGGGGGATTTTTTTTGGCTTGTTTTTATGTCTTGTTCACTGACCTTTATTTCCACAAGTGTCTAATCTGTAGTTAATCTCATCTTTTGGAATTTTTTCATTACAGTTCTCATTATGCTTTTGTTTTCCTTTATATCCTTGAGCATATGAGCATATTTGTAATAGTTTTACTGTTCTTGTCTACTAATTCCATGGACTCTTTTATTTTGGATTTGTTCCTCCTGATCCAGTTTTTTTTCATTTGGGGTATTTGTTATGCTTCTTCCTATATCTGGTAATTTTTCATCATATTGCAGACTTTGTGTTTTTTTATTGTGTGTCGGACTTTTTCCTGATAAGCATTTATGATTACTTACAGATAAATTTGACCCCTTTGAGGTTATTTTTAAGCTCATTTGGAGAGAGGATCTAGAGTAGTCTTTATTATTTCTATGCTAATTTTAGCTCTACTTCTAAGATACAGTTCTTCTAGGATCTCTACTGCATGTTCTATGGGTTTGATATGGTCTCTGCATTCTGACTGGTGCCAACATGAACAATTCAAAGACCTGTGTGAGCTCTGGGAATTACTTGACTTACAGCTCTCTGGTAATTGTTTTATCATTAAAATGTGTCCTAGCTTGACTTTATTGTGTACTATGAATACACAATTGATAGCTAACACTTGAGGGGAACCCTTGCACAGATTTCTGGAACTCTTTTTTGTCTTAGCTCCCTCCCCTCAGGAACTCTGCCCTGCAAATTCTAGCTGCCTTAGCGCCCTCTACTCTGACCTCTGTCTCTTTAACTCAGTGAGATTTATAAGCATTTTTTGGAACTCTCTTCATACCACAGTTTTAAAGTTACCTCTGGTTATAGAAAGCCTGGCTGATGGGAGGACTCACCTCATTTGTTTACCTTTTCTCGGGTATCATGGTCCTTTACTATCTGTTGTTTGATATCTGAAAATAATTGTTTTCTGTATTGTATCTTCTGGATCCTCTTACTTCCTCATAATTGGAAGCAGACATCCAAGTTAGAAATGACTTTTCTATGTGTGTTAGTCCATACTTGGATAGTGAAACTAAGAAACCAGGAAACCAGTCAAAGGGTTTCTCCTTCCCTGTATATACTACTTGGTAGTGTACTGTTTTCAGCTTTCTGTTGAAGAAGGAATTTTCTCCTGAGAGCCGGCATGATTTGCTGAATATAGAATTATGCTCTGAGGTTTTATTTGTAGTCTATAACCAAGCAGTGGGGCTACTTTTCCAGCAACACAATTTTCTTATGGATAGTAAAAGCTGTCTATAAGGAATATCTATTTTATTTTATTTATTTTTTAGTCAGAGTCCCACCTTGTTGCTGAGGCTGGAGTTCAGTGGCATGATCATAGCTCACCACAACCTCAACCTCCTGGGCTCAGGTGATCCTTCTGCTTCAGTCTCCCGAGTAGCTGGGATTACAGGCATGTGCCACTATGCCTGGCTAATTTTTTTGATTTGATTTGATTTTTTTATAGAGATAAGGTCTTGCTCTGTTGCCTAGACTGGTCTCAAACTCTTGGCCTCAAGCAGTCCTCCTGCCTCAGCCTTCCAAAATGCTGGAATTATAGGCATGAGCCACCACGCCCAACCAGGGGTATCTAGATGGAGGTGTTCAAGAGCATGCGCAACTGCAGTCTGAGTTAGCTGTTTTCTTTTCAAATATTCCCATTTTTGCATTTGTATACAATCTTTTTTGTCTGTCTTATGTTCATTTGTCCGACCATCCATTTCTTCCCTTCTTTCTTCCCTTTTTTCTTCCATCCTTCTGTTTATTTGGTGGCTTTTATATGTAAATATTTTTATTGCTAAGGTTTAAGGTAACTTTTAGAAATTTTCAATGTATCAAATGTTTTCCCATGCATAGTTAATAAAGATAGTGACATTATATTTAAAGTTTGGTATTAATATGTAGAAGTACATAGACTCCAGAGGCAAGTTTTGGCTTTGTATACTTTCTCTTAGTAGTTTTGAAATAAAAATGCAGATCCAGTAACAGTCTCCCAGCTAATATCCCTCCAGGACAATATTCTATATGAAACTAGGCTTGGAAAATGATTTTTGTGTCATCTACTGTGTTTAAAGTATCCCCTTAATGTAGCTATTTTTAGACTTGCTTAAAGGGAATCTTTTTTTTTTTAAACATATTTTTTGTTTTAAAATTGTGGGGAACAGTTAAGAGTTAGGTATACAGATATGCATCATTCAGGCACCCTTGTTGATAAGGGGTGTCCCCCTGTCCTCCAGACAGATATTGACTACCCTTTAATCCCACATCCCTTCCCCTCCCTGCCTCCCCCATAGATTCCCGCCACTGTCAATCCTTTTCTTATAGTATTACAATAGATGTTCAAGGTCCACTTATGAGTGAGAACATGTGATACTCAGATCTTTGTTTCTGTGAGAGATCACTCAGTATTATAAACTCTAGTTCCATTCATGTTGCTACAAAGTTAATGATTTTGTTCTTTTTTATGGCTGCGTAGTATTCCATCATGTATATGTACCACATTTTT